GTTCAGCAATGTTATCAAGAGTCCTCAGCCACTGATTCCTATCGTCTCGAGGACTCCAGCCAGTTAGTCTACATTACAGCACACAATTCAGACCACTTGTTTACCTGATTAATACTCTTTGTTCACCATTCATATCTAAGAATATATTACAATACATAATGGTGGTATTGATGAACAAGTGTGAATCATAAGTCATTCAAGAAACTGTCAATTTTGCCATGAGTTAGTATATCACCAAATCTTAGGCTTCTAATCAGTAACTCATGTTATTGGGTGGTTCATTTGTCAATCATGATCTCTGAATGTTTTTCAGTGATTTTCAATGGTTTCCTTTACGAAACTGATCCTCTTCGCGTCCTTCCTGATCAACCATACTTGTGATCCATTTTTAGGGTCTCATTCATATATAACTGTGTATATATGATGGAAAGATTACCTCATAAATTAACATCCTGATGTATTTGTTCTAATCTGAAGCAATTTTCATAGAATTTCAATTACTTAATGCTTGTTAATACAGTTATTTAATACTAATCTCCCTGTGGTATGCAGGGTCAAATTGCTTGACCTCTGTTGGCAGATGGGCTCCTATGCGGATGCCTTAATACTGCCAGATATTCATGATGTTATATTGATCTTGGTAGCTAGCAGGGGAATCCAGGATGCGCGTTTCGTCTTATTTGGGATTCGTCAGCCAGGTCTACCTGCATTCCAGTGAGTGATGTTTACCCCACTGAGGCTCAAACCCAGTACCCTGTATAGCGACGGGGAATTACAAGTATCATAACAACAACTGAAAACCGTTGTATAGTGGGCGGCTATTGTGCCCTAGTGGCTTGGTGGATAGTGCTCTGGCGTTCGAAGCAACGGGTACAAGATTCGTTTGGGAACATCAAGTGCCGAGTCCGAAGTAGGACGAAAAATGCGTCTCAAATTCTTCTGCTAGTCACCAAGATCAACATGACCACTTTCACTTATTCCATGCATTGTGGTAAAATCCATGACTTCTAATATGGATACTTTTGGGTAGCGTTCTTCTGTGTTGCGTCCCTCTTTTTTTTACTTGAAGCTGAAACCTGTACACACATATAATAGGTTGTGAGGCCATATTTAATGTGTGAAGCCTTCTGATAATGTGCAGTTATCCAGGCTGAAGTATTTGGAGCGGAATATAAACGTAAGACCCACTGCTTGAAATTTAAAAGTTAGTGAACCACTTTGCCATCGTTTTGTTGTGGTAAATATATTACATGACTGTGGTAACCATTTCTACCAGTTGCGAGAACAACTCTAGTATTCAACCTCGTCTTGGTTATCACTTTTTCACCCGTACGCTTTCTCTTCCAACTGGTGTTTAAGAATCGGTTATTATTATTTCTCCTTTGGGTTCCTAGTGGAACATAGGCCTTCAGTAGCACGTCACTATTTCACTCTGCTCTCTGCAATCCTTTTAACCTGGCTCCAAGACTGCCATAACCGTTCATTTCCTTTTCACATGATCTCCATGTCACCATCGGACGCTAAATTCGTCGTTTCCACTTGAGGGTCTGTCCTGATGCGTGATACCCCTTAATAATCTCAGTGGATGCCCAATCCAATCCATCTCCACTCTCTTCTGCATATTTGTTAGGCGATGGGTTCTTACTTCGTTGGTCCGTTGCCAGGCCGGAATTCCTTGTTACATATTCTTATTATTCTGGCCATCCATCTGATTGATCCTCAGTATCGAGTGACTGTAGGCGGCAGCTGTTCATGTATGTCTGCCGTTTGTTGGAAATGCTTTTCGTAACGCGCCAACTCTCTCAACCATCACATAGAAGCACTCACTTGACTGTTTTGGTGTTGAACATCCGGGTCTTCTTCACATTTTATGCTGTGTGTAATGCAATAGATCTCCACATTGATTTTACACCAATGAAGGAAGGCCTGTCTTGCTATCTTTCCCATCCTGGCCGGCTGGCTTTGACATCCTCATCTGTGCCTGTGCCGCCTGTAGTTGAAATGATGCTGCCTTGGTAGGTAGGTGAAAGAGGCAACTTCACTCAGGTTTCTCCCATTGATGGTGATTGATGCTTGTTGTTGGTGGTGGCGTCGGTTGGGTATCTTCATCACCTATGTCTTCTCCACGTCCACCTGAACGACGTCCCGTCTTCGCTGTCTTGCCTCTCCTCCCAACTTGTTGGTTTTCGCCTGCATATCTTCAAGCTTGTGCGATAAGACATTAGACATAAGTCATCATCGGAGGCGAAACCCAGATGTTCTAGGGTCTTTACATCGATCGGTCCAGCCAGGGTATGGCCATGTTGTTGCTCCTCACAGTTTGTTGCGTGATCCAGTTTGGTTGAGTCGACCATAATCAGGAAGATGATGGGTGATAGTAGGCGGTAACCTTGTCTTACACCTGTCTTTACTTCAAAGGCGTCGCTGAACTTTATACAGTTTTACAGTTGTTGACACTTAAGGAAAAAGCCTTTGGATTCCATGCCTAATGGTTGTTGATTTCTTCGGAAAATAGAAAAGATGGTTAGATAAAAGTAAGTATATCCTAACGCTGTTCAGCTATGTATAGAATACGACTGTTTTTGTATTACTGTGACTCTGGTTTTGATCGGACCGTTCTAGAAATACATTTCCTTTTGATTTTGTCTCTTCAATCTATCTGTTACTTACACATGCCGAGTGTGAATGATCAAGCTTTAGATGTCAAGGAGTGAATACATCTCCATTGTGACCGATTTTCAGCGATGTCACCAAGAGTCAGTCCTCAACCACTGATTCCTTTTGTCTCGGGAACCCCAACCAAACAGTCTACATCTCCCCACACGGCTCAGGCCAACGCTCAGGAACTAGTACCAGATCTTGGTCTGATCACCGTGAACCCTGTTCCATCCTAATCCCACTTCTCCTAGCATGGCATGTCGAGGTATGTGGTGGATAGGCATGCCCAACACATATACAAGCTATCTCTGTCGATTAACGTTCACAATCCCATCAATCGACTTGTCTATGTTGCCTAATACCTTTCTTCTGATCTCTACATTGCTCACTCAGTGATCCCACTACACGCGATCAATGCTATGAAGACACTTATGATTGAAAACCTGAAACTGTTTCATATCTTTTACTTTAAACGACCATGTATCACAGCCGTATAATAGGATAGAGCCAACTGCAACACAGTATACTCGTCCTTTGATAGATAATTAGATATCTCTCGCGTGCCGTAAATAACGCGAGTTGGGAAATGCCAAATGGGCCTTCTATATCCGAGCTGAAATTTCGTCAGCGACCGGCCTTTTGAGCTGGTTCAATTTTATCAAGCAAGTGAATCGGCCAACATATTCCACCACTTCACTGTCTATCATCTTCATCATTATTCATCTGACAACGAGGCGATCCATCTTCAATAATCATATGAGAAAATTTAGAGGGATTTTAGACCACTAAACATATAAATTGTTTTATTGCTGTTAGCTAAGATCTTGAAATACAATATATAAATGCTATTTATACTCTATTGAAGTGTAACAAGTGTCGAATAATTGAGTTTTGTCACTGAGATAGCTGTATAAAATGAGATCATGAGATGCATATTGATAAAGCGATTACCTCATTAGACTAGTTAATCAATTTTGATTGTTATGCAGAACGTTTCTGTTACTGGTCAGCTTTGTAACAATATAAATCAACGCAGAGTGACTTATATTTGGACTTTGATTTCAAGTGAATATTCTTCCTGATTTAGCGTTTTCGACCCATTGATTCAAGTGAACCAATCAATCAATCAATATCAACATAGGACTAGGCATTACGGAGTAACGGTCCGAGTGCCACACCTCATATCAGTACATCAAGTAGAAGGTAGTGAGGTGAAGGATGAAGATAAGAGAATGCAATCAAAAGAAATATAAGTACAGAAGAAGGAAAGAAGAATGACAAAATGGTGAGATTCGGTATAGCGTCGTTAACATGAAGATGATGTATGTACAGATCTGCAACACTGACATCGATTCTGAACCACGTGATAAAATCTCCAACCACTGGTTCTTCTGTCCCTCGGACCCCAACCACCTAGTCTGCATCTCCCCACTCACATGGCTCAAACTAACAGTCAGAGACTTCATACATTAGTGCCATGTTTTAGTCTGGCCACCTCGGGCCTTTTTCCAGCTTCAACCTACTTCGGCCAGCATTGTGTGATGAGGCGATCGGTGACTGGGCATACGTAGTACGTGTCCCAACCATCTCAATCGTAACTTCCAACTGTGAGTTGAAAAGAAGTATGTATGTAAGGTATGTAAAGGATGAACTATCATTTTGGATCACTCCCAAGTGTGTACAACACTTTCATCTGCCCCTGTTGACCTGGTTACATCAGTTGAACAAAGTGTGCTCTATTCAAAAACATCTCCAAAGACTACTATGTATGGTTGTCTACAAGTGAGTACAAATCGATTGAACATCTAGTTAACTCTGACCATCCTACTTCGCCCCCCCCCCGCCCCCTAAAATCTTCCTTCAAAGTCATCTATACAGTGAAGTAAAACATTTCGAAGGGAGTGCAGACTTGAAGAGACGTGAACATAATAGATACCTTGAAAATTCATTGGTTCAAGCTTGATCTCTGTATATGTTGAGAAGAGATATGTCCGATCTCTCATCTTACCTTACCTTGGTTGTAGTCTATCTTCCCCGTGACTTCTTTACTCCTGTGTAACTGTGAATTTCAATATTTCTATGTCACTTTTCTTACCTTTGTGGAAATAATACGCGATCATCTTGTAACAGTGGAAATAATTTCTTAATGCATTCTGTGAATATTGTAGCCATTGGTGAATGAGTATATAATTTCGCGTTGTAGCTGTAAATATGAATGATGCGTTGAGAAGAAAATTCTGTTCACTGAAGTTTCTTTTGTTTTGCCGAAAAACAGCTGCTTCATAGTGTTATATTATTTTGATGTATATTTTTGTTATCTTTTAACTATTTTATTATTTTAGATGGAACACAAGTTGGACATGATTCACCGTCGAAAGGATTTTTACCGTTTAGTGGAACACGTCTAATTCAACGTCGAAATCGTTTTCATACATCATTGATTAGTTTAGTTCTAAAGGCGCATCGGGTTAGTTTACCTGTTTTTGAATATATAATGATCAGGTTTTTTGTTCATGGTCATATTCATTATTATATATAATTATTTGTCCCTTGGGTTCTCAGTGGAACATACGGCTTCAGTAGCATGTCTCCATTCCACTCTCTTCCCTACAATCTTTGGAACCACGCTCCACGACTGCCCAGAAGCTGTCATTTCTTGCTCACAGTATCTCCTGCATGTCACCCTCGGACGTCCAACTCATCGCCTCCCATCTGGGTTAGACTCGAGTGCATGGCGCATGATGTCCCCGAATGGTTTTCTCAGTGCACACCCAATCCATCTCCACTGCCTTCTGCATATTTGTTGAGCGATAGGTTCTTGCTTCGTTGGTTCGTTGCCAGTCAGCCAGAGTTCCCTGTTACTTATTCTTTCTGGCCATCTGAGCTTCAGTATGGAGCCAGCGTAGGTAGTTGTTGATGAATATGTGTAGTTTGTTGGAAATGCTTTTCGTAAGTCATATTCATAAAAACATTCAATTCATATCTAATCAAACGATATATTAGACAAAGGTAAACAATTAAATATTTCAAGTTGGTATTCATCGTAGACTGACATCAGTTGAAGGAACAGAGGAAACCTGAGAAGTCGCGGCCGGTGGGGGCAAAGGCTGATGGTCGTGAGGACAGTTACTCAACGATGACATTTGGTGGCGGTTGTACTGTATACTGAGCTAACAGAAGTTGGAAATATAGACCATTGGATTCTGATCTAGTGGCTCAACGGTAACGTGCTGGCTGTAGGTCGCTGGTTCGATCCCTCGCGGGGTCGTTGGTGCGCACTACTGAGGAGTCCCGTACTAGGAAGAAACAGCTGTCCAGTGCTCCCAGGTTTCCTCTGTTCCTCCAACTCATGTCAGTCTACGATGAATAACAACTTGAAATATTTCCAAATCCCCACAACTCCCTCAAAATCCAATTAGATATTTACTCACTACTTAAATAATAACTCCACATCTCTAACTTAATGGATATTGAAAGACAAAAGTGGTTATTGAAAGAATATTTTTCTTTAGAACGAGAGTATACTCAGTATACTCATCCTTCGATAGATAATTAGTTATCTCTCGCGTGCCGTAAATAACGCGAGTTGGGAAATGCCAAATGGTCCTCCTATATCCGAGTTGAGATTTTGTCAGCTACCAGTTTGCGAGTGTGTCTTCGAAAGTGAAATCAGCTTTTTTTAGCACACCAATTTAATCAAGAACCTTCATGAAATATTCTTTGCGTCTTATAAAACAAGGCTAGTATATATTTTGGAGTACCACAAACCTTTATCAACCTCATCCAATAACTATATGAACACGCCACATGCCAGGTGATCCACAGTTGACAGCTCAGCGACGCCTTTGAAGTAAAGACAGGTGTAAGACAAGGAAGGTTACCGCCTACTATCACCCATCATCTTCCTGATTATGGTCGACTCAACTAAACTGGATCACACAACACACTGTGAGGAGCAACAACATGGCCATACCCTGGCTGGACCGATCGATGTAAAGACCCTAGGACATCTGGGTTTCGCCTCCGATGATGATTTATGTCTAATTTCTTATCGCACAAGCTTGAAGATATGCAGGCGAAAACCAACAAGTTGGGAGGAGAGGCAAGACAGCGAAGACGGAACGTCGTTCAGGTGGACGTGGAGAAGACACAGGTGATGAAGATACCCAACCAACGCCACCACCAACAACAAGCATCAATTACCATCAATGGGAGAAACCTGAGTGAAGTTGCCTCTTTCACCTACCTACCAAGGCAGCATCATTTCAACTACAGGCGGCACAAGCACAGATGAGGATGTCAAAGCCAGCCGGCCAGGATGGGAAAGATAGCAAGACAGGCCTTCCTTCATTGGTGTGAAATCAATGTGGAGATTATCTGCACTACACTGCACTCAGCATAGTGTGAAGAAGACCCGGATGTTCAACACCAATACAGTCAAGTGAGTGCTTCTATGTGATGGTTGAGAGAGTTGGCGCGTTACGAAAAGCATTTCCAACAAACGGCAGACATACATGAACAGCTGCCGCCTACAGTCACTCGATACTGAGGATCAATCAGATGGATGGCCAGAATAATAAGAATATGTAACAAGGAATTCCGGCCTGGCAACGGACCAACGAAGTAAGAACCCATCGCCAAGAAATCTGCGGAAGAAGAGAGTGGAGATGGATTGGATTGGGTATACACTGAGAAAAGTAGTGGCTGTTTTGTTTTCAATATATCTTACTGAACTACCCTTCTTATCGTTTTCGCGTTTTTCCATCTTACTTATCCACTTCACATCATTTATGCCTTCACAGTGTTGTCATACTATTTTGTTTGGAGCATTTCTATGTACCTTTGCTATACCTCGTCTCTGTTGTAATAGTAATAATAATCAGTGCAAGCACTCGCATTTGAGCCAGTCTCGATACAAAAGTTGATCAGTTCGACGCTGTATAGCAACGTGAGATTACAAGTATACAAACAACACCTGATACCTGTTACACAACAGGTGGTTCTCATGTACCAGTGGATAACGCTTTGACGTTCGAAGCGATGGGTACTGGGTTCAACTACCAGTGGGAACAACATCACTCACAGGAGTGCGGGTACATCCACTCGATGAGTCCCACGCACGACGAAACCTGCGTCCTAATTTCACTGCTAGCCACCAATCAGAACAACTTGACATAACAATTACTCCATTCAAATTCTTCAACATCACAACAAGTGATACTCCAATAATAAATTTTTAAAAGTCATTGGAAGTGAACAAAGAATACTCTTTTCGACAACCTCTTCTTCTTCTTCTTCTTCAGGTCCCACAGTTATAAATACACATTGAGCATCAATGCATCAACAAACAATATTGAGATTTCCCCCATCACCTTTTATTTCTCTAGTTATTCTCACAACGTGTTTTTTGTCACATGCTTTATCTTATCCTCACAACACATTCTAATGATGTACAGTGCAACATCTTCGATCACCTTTCAAAGAGACTTCAAAGAAACTTCAGGTTGAATTGTGGAAGTGCTGATTTCACTATTAAAGCAGTACTGGCTAACAACTTGAGCACCACTGAGAATGGAAACAAACTGGAGAAAGAGAACGGTTTGTGTTGTGTATCCGTGTAGATATAAAGAATGAGAGTAACTACCACTAGTGACTTTAAAGGCGATCCTGGCAACTGAGAAGACAACCAATCACATATCTCTATTCTATGAAAACTGGTTTTCTCAGACAAAGCACGACAACCTGATTGGTTATTTCATCAGTCGTTAGGGTGACCTTTTAAGTCGCTCACAACCAATAAAATGTGAATATCCTTCATTTGTTCTTTTCTAGCTTTATTCTCATTCACTGACATTTTGACTAGACCATCTAAGCTTTTAAGGTTTAGTGCATTTTTTCACAACATTCTACACAAATGTGTATTGTGTGGGCTAACAGTTCAACTTCGGTTTCTCTCTGAGTTAGTTATAGGATCAACTCACACATATTAACTCCTGGAATAATACCGGTCAGGATAGGATCTGCGTTGAGGATTTGCCTGTGATACACTTGGTACTTATCATAGACTGACATTAGTTGGAGGGACATTGAAAACCTGGGATCACTGGACAGCTGTTTCATCATAGTATGGCACTCTTCAGCAGTGCCCCCCCCCTGTTTACTTGACGATGGTATTGAATGGAGGTCACGCTATATCGTGAACTGACAGAAATAAGAAATATAAACCATGGGGTTCCAAACTAGTCGCTCAGTGGTAACATGTTGGCCGTAAGACCTAAAGGTCTTGAGTTCGATCCCTGATGATGTCCTAAAACCTATAAATCCTCACAAAACCTCCAAATTGTATTCTTATTGTGTGGTTTTTTTATTTATTACTTATCCACTTCCCATCTCTTTATGTCTTCATAATGTTGTATATACCATTTTGTGTAGTGCATTTCTTGATACCCTTACTATATCATATTTGTTGCCTGTTAAAAAAATACACAAGTGTAGATCACTTGTCTGATGCATAAAAAAGTCAATGGGAATGAATGTCTGATATACCGATCCATGGATTGATTGAAAGTCATATTTATTACTTTTGTTTAAATGTTGAAATTGTTCACTAACAAGGAAAGTTTACAATAAACTAAAATCAATGAGATACATCACTTCCATATATGTCCGTTCTAGTATGATTATTGTACTCACAAAAGTTTAGATGAGAATATAGAGCGTAAATTATTTGTCGAAAAACACTTCATCAATAATTTTAGTGTTTAGCATACTATTAATTTTCATTGAATAAATATTTACCATTAGAAGTGGTTAATTGAAAATATTTGCTTCCTGATACACATTTAAAACAAGCAAAAAACGTAATCGAAGAGCAGGATTAATTGGATTCATAAATTTCAGTAGGTCTCGTCAACGTTTTCTACTCTACCTACTTGAGTTTCTATGTATACTGTTGTGCACTAAAGAAATACATACACACATAATACGGCAGACTGAGGCATGACGACAACACAGATTGAATCATTTAGTTATCCTGGGTAATGATTTAAGGTGAGATGAAAATCTGAACTGCGACTACTAGGTTACCGGCCTGGTGCTCTACCAACTAAGCTACGAGATTCGACTGACTGCTGACCAGAATTTTATTTCACTTCAATCACCAAGGATTTCGCCCGACTACCATGTGAATTCATGATCAATTACTACCGCTTGATCGTATTCACATTGGCTACCGCGGTTAGGACTTCTCATCCCAATTCAAATCTAACTGAATCAGAGAGGAGGAGCATCATATTGATTATCATTTGACTATGTGAGATAACCGTAGTTTGGCAGACTAGTATTGATACTGGGTTATGTCAGACAGAGCTAAGATTTGGTTAGGAAGGGGTAACAAATTGATAATGGAAAATAAAAGGACTAGGGATGAATTACATCATTTCTGAACAGAACAATTACTAGTCAACTAGATACGTTGATAAAGGTGCACACTAAGAGGAGAATAATTGTTAGGTAAATAAAAATATTGGTTATAGTAGTAATACTACGAGTGAGTGATAATAATGATAATGATAACAATGAGAATATGAATATTGAAAAGATGAAGATTATGTGATTTTGAAACAAGGTAAATAATGAACATTAATTAAGAAGCTTGGTAACAGTGTAAAACTGAAGGAGGCTAGAGTAATCGTTGAACAATAACAATCATAATAACGATGGAGGTGAGTCATTTGATGATGAGGCGGAGAACTTCAACTCGAATAAGGACAGTGAAGAGGTAAATATGTAAAGTAGAGGAAGAAATAAAATGGAAAAACAAGAAATTAAATAACTTCAAAATACTTTAACACCTCTACTATGGTAGATTCAGAGTGACTACCATCACTTTCTGTACACATAGGCTCAGTTTAAGAACTCGGGTCGCATATGCTTCCACAATTGTAAGCATGTCTGCTGACAACTGAGAAAGCCTTAATGGCGTCAACGTCATGTCGATAATCCACTAGATGTTTCGCAATCTAACTCCTTGAGATTACTGACTTGGCTTGCCTCAACCATTTAGGCAAATGTTCAACCATACGACTAGACAGACGTCTTTCGATACGACCTATGTTATTTACTTCCACAAGTACATTCAAATTAGTATATACAGTTAGATGTGTCGAGGATTGAAGTCATATTTCCTCCTGATTGTTGGAACACCTGCCTGATGGTCGTCAGAAGTAAAAGCTTAGCTGCATAATAAGTTCTTTTGATGATGGTTTTGTCTAGTCTCCCCCTAACGACTTGAACAACAGTATATAAAGTTATGTATGTAGAATGAAAAGCGTTGATGAGTCCTACTGAAATTTATGAATTCAATAAACCCTGTTCTTTATTACGTTTTTTTTTGGCTCGTTTTAAAAGTGGTTAATCGTTAGACATTTACTTTGTGTTCGACTTTACTCATGCCTAACAGTTGGTTAAAGAGATGTCAATTAAGGCAGTGTCTTCTTTGGTCAATGAACATCTTCAGGATTGATTCCAGTTCTGTTTTTATTCATCCTCTGTTGTTGTTGGTGTTGGAACCTTCCTGTCTATATATATTCTTTTCATTTTTCTCCATCTAGTAATGTCTTTTCTAAAAGGTTTTCATCATTCTGAATAACGTATAGTAACTTACTTTTTATGTGTCTAAAATTTAAGGGATTATTCTAGTGTAAAATTTCTCAGCTTGTTTTTCGTTACTATGAGTATCTTGTTTGTAACATAGTCTATCGTTAGACGTGTTATGTTTCATGTTATTTACTTTCAGGATTTTTTAATCTCAGAGCTTGGAATCGATCCTTCACAACTTCCAGAAGATTCTGCACTTCGTCGTTGGCATCCTAAATTCCCTTTAGAGTCTGCAGTTAACTGTATACCTTCATCACCGTTACCAATAAAACCATCAGAATATGAACAAAAGATAACAACAGCTAAGGATGCTGTTAAAGCATTTCAAGCTCGTGCTCTTTTTCGTGAAGCTGATACATGTCATCAAATATCACTTTCTAAACAACAAATATCTCCGATACCAAGTCCAAAGAAGTCTATATCATCTCCATGCAAATCAGTAAATCTTGCAAACAATACAGTGTCTACAATAGATATTCTTACAGGAATACAGGGAAGTTCTGAAGATCTTAGCAAAACAAATCTCTCTTCTACTGCAGCTAATCTAAAGGGGATATCTCAAGCACTTATAAACAAGGTAAGTATTATTTTCACCTTGTTTTAAATGGCTTCTTTCTCATTGATTTTAAGTTAAAATTCATCATGGACTGACATCAGTTGAAGGAGCATTGGAAACATGGGAGCAGTGGACATCTGTTTCGTCTATGACCCCACAGCCCCGGGAATCGAACCCGTGACCTTCAGGTTCCGTGGCCAACACGTTACCATTGAGCCACAGGGTCGGAATCCAATCGTCCACATTTCCTTAAATCAATTCATAAACTTCCACAAATCTTCAGATAGAATTAATGTATGGCTTATTTATGACTAGCTTCGAGAGGTGATTCCCCAAGGTTCTGAAGATAAACCGTAACATGAAAACGGCTATTCAACGACGATTTTGGATGTAGGTCACGCTATATCGCGAACTGACAGAAGTAGGACTATTGGATTCCGACCGAGTGGCTCAATGGTGACGTGCTGGCCACGGAACCTGAAAGTTATGGGTTCGATCTTTGGGGCTGCAGGGTCATCAATCCACTCTGCTGAGGAGTCATATACTTGGACGAAAAAGCTGTCTAGTGCTTCTTGGTTTCCTGTGTTTCTCTTAGTGATATCAGTTTATGATGAATTACAAACTAAAATCAATAAAATAAACCTCCACAAACGTCCAGATAGAATTTTTTCTGACTAGTGGCTATTATGTTACTTTGTTTTGTTGAGTATAACTTCGGGAGATCAGATACATTAATACCACTGATTTATTTTGAGCCATTTCCGACTGTCTTCTAAAGTGGACTCAGCTCAACTGTCTATATGACTCACCATAACAGGAGTCAAGTACCATGGGTTGACAGCAGGTTGTCATTTGGTCACCTTTGGTTTTTTCTTCCAGCTTTACTTCACTTCACTTAACACTTAGTAGATGATGGTTCCGTATGCTTAACACATCCAAGCTACTATATAGTAGATGCAAGTTCGTATCGTGACCTGTCTTACTTCAATATCGCTAAAACTGTTTTGTTCGGTTCCCCATCGATTTTGTCTGCCTGTAATCTCATTACTTATGAGTAGTTTTGGATAGGTAGATATCTATGCTCAGAAACCTGTAACTTTATGTTTTTCTGTTTTCAGATACTATATTTCATATTTGTAGCACCAGTTTATTGCGTAATGCACCGACCCTTGTGAAACTGTAAATTATGGGTATGAGGATATATGATCTCCAGGTTTTTCGGATCTAAACTTCGCTACATTAATTTCTGGCATATCCGTTAGTAACGAATTTGTGTATTCAATGGAACTACGCAGCTGCGCTTTGATTTATGTTGAAATATCACGCCTGTATCGTAAACGGCAGATGTTCCCAATTATCAAACAAGCCGGTTTTTTAGATCTATGATAATATACAGTCACCAACCAACCTATTAAAACTTATTTAATTTCACCAGTAGACTCAACCGTTTCGCTCTTATTTCTTAAAATAAGCTTAAGGACTGATCAACCTTAAAGTATCGTCTTGTACTTGGCAGGTACGAAGTACATTTTGAGTATACTCATATTTTGACGTGATATATATCCAGAATATCGAATATCCTCGCCTGATAATTACTACTTCATATAGTTACTGTTGTGGAACTCTGGCAACGAACCAACCAAGAACCTATCGCTCAACAAATATGCAGAAGGAAGTGGAGATGGATTGGGCATACACTATGAAGGTCGACTGGGAACATCACGCGCCAGGCCTGGCTGTCGAGTGGAACCCAGATGGGAAACGTCGAGTTTGGCAATGGCGTCCGAGGGTGATATGGAGGAGATCGTGCGAAGAAGTGATGAGAGCTTCTAGGCAGTTGTGAAGCGAGGTTCCAAAGATTGCAGAGAACTGGAGAGTGGAATGGAGACGTGCTACTGAAGCCCTATGTTCTACCAGGAACCCAAGGGACAAATAATAATAATAATAATAATAATAATAATAATAATAATAATAGTTACTTTCGTGAAAATAGATACTGTCCGAAATAGTATATCATTAGACGAGGGATCGGCGGTAAGCGAGATTGTACCCATCAGTATATGTATGAAAATGCTTGACAGTGGATTATTCCGATACTTGGGGTGGATTACTACCAGACTTTGAAATGTATTTAACGTCAATAATAACCATTGACGAGTAATATTGTAAGTAATAAGTAGTAATAACAATATTTGGTTTTATATTTTTGTCAAACGGTTTACCATTATTATTATTATTACTATTATTATTATTATTATTATTATTATTATTATTATTATTATTATTATTATTCAACGTTTTTCCCCCATAAGGTTCGTGCTCGTGAAAAAGAACGACGTCTTTTAACTGAACTTACTAATGGGAAAGTTTCAGAGGCTCGTCGTGCTATATACTGTCGATTACCTTTAATAGTAACTCAAGTCTGGAGTATTTTACGTTCATCCAATGCTCGTCCTGTTCCATTATCAACTGTAACTGTTCGTGTGGCTGATGTTCATCCTAGTGGTTTAACTTCAGGTAATATTATCAAGATTATTAATTGTATTTGATCAAAATTAAATATTTTATTGAAGACTGAACCATACTTCATAATTCACTTTTTCTTTCACAGTCTATGCAAAATAGGTTTTTATGGTATAAACTTTACTCTAAATTTCTGTCACTAGATTCTGTTCTTGAAGAGATTAATGGATTTATAACCATATTCCAATATGTCTGACTTATTTTTGAGATTAATAGGGAATTTATTTTTATGGTAGTATTCATCACGACCTGATGTACACTTGAGAACTATTGAATGCCCTAAGAGCACTGGACAGCTATTTTGTCCTCGTTTGGAGCTTCTTAGTAGAATACACTTCATAACCCTGTCGGAGATTGAACTCAGTACTTTCAGGTTTTCAATGGTTCTCCAATCGATATCATTCCATGATGAATACTACTACTTTAAATTATTTCTTCAATTTTTTTAACCAATTTTAGGTTGTCAAGAAAAATCTACGTTTTGATTTGCTAGTAAAGTTACTATGTGGTATACTGGTTGACAAGTCTAAGCTGTCACATTGAAATATCAGAATTTTTATAATTATTATTATGATTATTATTCAGTAGCACGTCTCCATTCCACCCTGTCCTCTGCATTCTTTTGAACCTCACTCCACCACTGCCCACAAGCTTTTATTTCTTCCTCATATGATCTCCTCCATGTCACCCTTGGACACCCAATTCATCATTTTTCATTTAGGTTCCACTTCAGGGCCTGACCTGACCTGGCACATGATGTCTCCAAGTGGTCTCCATAGTGTATGCCCGATCCATCTCCACTTTTTTGTGCATATTTGTTGGGCGATGGGTTCTTGGTTGGTTCGTCGCCAGGCCGGAGTTCCCTGTTGCTTATTCTTATTATTCTGACCATCCATCTCATCTCCACCTTTAGTATCGAGTGGGCGAAGGCGGCAGCTGTTGATGATGTATGTCTGTAGTTTGTTAGAAATGCTTTTCGTAACGCGCTAAGTCTCTGAACCATCACATAGAAGCACTGACTTGACTGAGATTAGTGTTGAAAATCCAGATGTTGTTCACGCTTTATGCTGAGTGCAGTGTAGTGCAGATAATCTCCACATTGATTTCACACCAATGAAGGAAGGCCTGTCTTGCTATCTTTCCCATCCTGGCCGGCTGGCTTTGACATCCTCATCTGTGCCTGTGCCGCCTATAGTTGAAATGATGCTGCCTTGGTAGGTAGGTGAAAGAGGCAACTTCACTCAGGTTTCTCCCACTGATGGTGATTGATGCTTGTTGTTGCTGGTGGCGTTGGTTGGGTATCTTCATCACCTGTGTCTTCTCCACGTCCACCTGAACGACGTCCCGTCTTCGCAGTCTTGCCTCTCCTCCCAACTTGTTGGTTTTCGCCTGCATATCTTCAAGCTTGTGCGATAAGACATTAGATATAAGTCATCATCGGAGGCGAAACCCAGATGTTCTAGGGTCTTTACATCGATCGGTCCAGCCAGGGTATGGCCATGTTGTTGCTCCTCACAGTTTGTTGTGTGATCCAGTTTAGTTGAGTCGACCATAATCAGGAAGATGATGGGTGATAGTAGGCGGTAACCTTGTCTTACACCTGTCTTCACTTCAAAGGCACCATTGAAGTTTCCATTGTGAATTACTTGGCATGTAGCATCCTCATATAGCATATCGCTGTTGAATGAGGTTGATAAAGGTTTGTGGTACTCCGTGGTGTTGAAGCAGTTTCGAAATAACTTCTCGGTCGATACCTCGACCGAAGGTGTTTTTTTGAGTCGATGAGTTGAAGTAAAGAGATAACTGCCATTTTATGGTGTGCTTTATGATGATGCGTAGCGTAGAGTTGCAATTCGACTCGCACATGATTTCTTTTTCCTGAAGCCAGCCTGTTCTGGTGGTTATTTTGAATCCAGTGAATTTTTTAGTCTCTCCAGGATGATTTGGCTTAGTGCTTTGCTTGTTGTGAACAGCAGCATGATTCCGCGCCAGTCATATTGGAATATATTCAAAGAAATATTCATGTTTAAACGTTATTTTCAAGTTGTTTCCTCTGTAGTTACCATATTTTTGTCGGTGATCTGCAGGATAGATGAAGGTATCCAAATACATGCGAAAATCCGCCACAATTCCCTCATGTTTGTGAGACAGCCGTTGAGAAAACGATAATATGAAATGGTTAAAGGTTTTTGACCACAGGTTTCTTCGCAGCATTTTTCGCGTATGATGTAATCAACATATGAGAATATCGAGGTTGAGTAAAGTTTTTCTCGAAGACAAATCAGTCGATGACATTATCAATTCCCACTGACTGAAGCGGCTTGAGCATGCTTTACGCATGCTCAGCAGCCACCTACCTCGACGGCCTGTTCTGCCTGGTATAGGATTCGCTTGGACTGAGTTTTACAGTGATCAAACGAAGACGTAGCACCATTCCAAGAAGTCTCTGATTGTTAGTCTAGTGAAATGTAGACCTTTCAGTTAAGGTCAGCATGGTGGTGGTGGAAGACTCATGGTGATATAGTTCTAAATCCAACTCAATGGCACTGATGTATCCATCTTATTTTCATCCTGATCGTCATATCAAGTTTCGTTACTTTTAAAAAATTTCTTCTAACACTTCGTCTTATTCAATTGAAATAAGCGCGGCTACTAACCATTAGTTTAAAACCATTGCTTACATTACAACTAGGAATTACAGTGAATTTCAACAATTCTTATTCTGAACATCATGTGATCTACCATTTCAAAGTGTCTTCAATGATAAATCTGTGAAAAGAAGGAAATTTCTAATGAACCTGATCAACCTGAAAGTACACTAAATTACTGATCTCAAGGTGTTAAGTTTAATCTGGTTGTTTCAGAGTATTGTTTTAGTGATTGAAAAGTTCTCGCTAAGATTCATGTCATCTGGAATAAGAGTGAATAATGAGATTTCAACATTCCTTCTTGACTTTGCTATCGATGACGATCTCAAGGAGCTCTTCAACAGGTATGATGTTTATGATGTAGATCTACTATCCGGTGAATGTGGATAGTATCACTTTACTGTGTAAGAATGTATGATCTGTTCAGATTGTAACTAATCAGTTGATGGTCTACTTTGCATTGTCTAAGTGTAGAGTACCTTTAACGGAAATCATTCGTCTGATGAGTCTTAAATACGACGAAGCGCTGCTGCTAGCCACTATGCATCGCTTAAAAGAATATTGAATGGTAAGTGTGCCGTTAAGTATTAAGATGGATTTTTGTTAAATATGCGTTTCTCACCACCCAAATGCAAATTGTTGCTCCAGAATTGGTCTTTAACGGTGCCACGGCTAACAATAGAGAGTGTAGAGGTTGAATGTGTTGACCACTTCACTTACCTGGGAAGTAGGATCAGCCCTAGTGCACTGGTCAGTGGCCGATGAAATCTCCGCATAGGTACAAAAGGTTTGGTCAGCTTTCGCTAGCTTACGCCACCTATGATTCCGCCGTGATATCCGATTGTCTACTAAGGGTCGCGTGTACTGCACAACAGTCCGGTCTGTTCTACTGTATGGCTGTGAAACATGACCATTGAAGATGGAAGACATGTAAAGGCCTCAGGTGTTTGACCACCGTTGCCTTCGTAGTATGGACCGTATTCCACGGTGTCACCACGTGAGTAACGCAGAAGTCAGGTGTAGAGTTTTAGGGAGTAAAAGTAAGTCGTTTGACGAGTTTATGAACCTTCATCGACTGAGATGGTTTGGATATGTGTTACGCATGCCTAGTTGCCATCTGCATCATCATACAATGTTGGCCGAAGTAAGTTGAGGCTGGAAAAAGGCCCGAGGTGGCCAGAGTAAACCATAGCACCGATGTATGAAGTCTTTGACTGTTGGTTTGAGTTATGTTGGGCAATGCGGACTAGGCGGTTGGAGACTCTAGGTGATATGGCTGAGAACCGATGTCAGTGACGCAGATGTATCCACACACACATTATCCTCATCTTAACACTATACCGATTCTCACCACCTTGTCATTCTTCCTTTCTTTCTTCTCATACCTTATATTTCTTTTGACTGCATTCTCTTATCTTCATCTTTCACCTGACTACCTTTCTACTTGATATAGTGATATGAGGTGTGGCAACTTGGACCGTTACGCAGTAAAAAGCCTGGTCCTATGTTGATATTGATAATGATGATGAATATAATACTTATTATAAATATAATTCTATATGTATACGGTTGTCTTTATATGATACCGTCGTTGATTGGACCGAATTGATCGGTCTCTGTTAGTGTATGGGCTCCTGTGCGGATGCCTCGATATTGCCAGCAATCTAATTATGTTAATGATGGATCATGGCTAGCAGTGGAATGCAGGATGCGTATTTCCTCTTATTTGGGACTCATCAGTTGGATGTACCTGCTCCCCGGTGAATGATATTGTTCCCACCGGGATTCGGACTCAGGAGCGATCGTTTGTTTTTATTGTGGAAGCAATTTATGTAGCGGTTAGGGTTACTAGCCAACCTTCCCTTTTTGTACCCGAACTTAAACCGTCTAGTAACTCGTGAACTAGTTAACCATTCAGTGTTATCACCTATAAATATTTAAACAGAGTTTTTAAATTTGTTTCCCCCCCCCCCCCTCATTCTGGTTGATTAGATGTTATCGGAGAACATTTGAATGTTTTATTGGAGTTAGCACCATGTTGGATTGAAAAATTGAATTGGTCTACACCTCATCTTCGGTTAAAAGATCCTGAACGATCTGTAAAGGATGTAATTGATTTAATTAAAGCAAAGGTAGCTAAAGACGGTGTGAGAATCTAAAAGTTGTTTTTATTATTATTTTTAATGTTTATTCGATAATCGACGCATTTAAATGTTGATAGTCTATGTATGTATGTGTGTGTGTTTTTGCATTTATTTAAACCTTATACTTTCATTTGAATATTATATATTTGTGCATTTATTTACACTTTGTGTTAATCATTGTGTACACTAGGTATTGTCTCATAATATTTATTCAAAATCATAGTATTGTAATGTTTTGATGAAACAGACTACTTAAATGTAGCGATATGTTATCATTCGGTGCTTCACTGGTCATGATACCGATTTAGAGTGCCGATTTAGGTTCTATAATTAACGGAGTAAAGTAAATCCCTAAAACTGATCCTATCCTAACTAGTATTATTCCAGGAGTGAATATGTGCGAGTTGATCCTACAACTAACTCAGAGAGAAACCGAAGTTGAACTGTTAGCCCACACAATACACATTTTAAGTAGAATGTTGTGAAAAAATGCACTAAACCTTAAAAGCTTAGATGGTCTAGTCAAAATGTCAGTGAATGAGAATAAAGCTAGAAAAGACAAATGGAGGATATTCACATTTGATTGGTTATGAGCGACTTAAAAGGTCACCCTAACAACCAATCAGGTTGTCGTGCTGTCTGTGAAAACCAGTTTTCATAGAATAGAGATATGTGATTGGTTGTCTTCTCATTGCCAGGATAGCCTTTAAAATCACTAGTGGTAGTTACTCTCATTCTTTATATCTACACGGATACACAACACAAACCGTTCTCTTTCTCCAGTTTGTTTCCATTCTCAGTGGTGCTCAAGTTGTTAGCCAGTACTGCTTTAATAGTGAAATCAGCACTTCCACAATTCAACCTGAAGTATCTTTGAAGTCTCTTTGAAAGGTGATCGAAGATGTTGCACTATACATCATTAGAATGTGTTGTGAGGATAAGATAAAGCATGTGACAAAAAACACGTTGTGAGAATAACTAGAGAAATAAAAGGTGATGGGGGAAATCTCAATATTGTTTGTTGATGCATAATTTCTCAATGTGTAATTATAACTGTGGGACCTGAAGAAGAAGAAGAAGAAGAAGACGTTGTCGAAAAGAGTATTCTTTGTTCACTTCCAATGACTTTTTAACAATTTATTATTGGAGTATCACTGTTGTGATGTTGAAGAATTTGAATGGAGTAATTGTTATGTCAAGTTGTTCTGATTGGTGGCTAGCAGTGAAATCCGGGACGCAGGTTTCGTCGTGCGTGGGACTCATCGAGTGGATGTACCTGCACTCCTGTGAGTGATATTGTTCCCACTGGTAGTTGAACCCAGTACCCATCGCTTCGAACGTCAAAGCGTTATCCACTGGTACATGAGAACCACCTGTTGTGTAACAGGTATCAGGTGTTGTTTGTATACTTGTAATCTCACGTTGCTATACAGCGTCAAACTGATCAACCTTTGTTTGAAGATAGGCTTCAATGCAAGTGTGTCCACTGTTATTATTACTATTAGAACAGAGATGTGGTACAGCAGGAGCACCAAGAAATGCGCTGCACAAAATGATATAATAATATTGTGAAGACACAAACAGATTGTAAATGTATCAGTTGAAGTCAACATTAGAAGCTCAGTAGGAGTAAATGTACTGGAGAAGGGACTTAACTGAAGCAATGTGAAATCTAAAATTGAAATTGCAATAACTTCAGTAGATAAGGCAGTGGCAGATAAGGTTCGAGTATAATGTACTTTACAATAACAGGAGAAGACAAAACAGAATTTGCCAAAAAGCAGAAAAAGTAGCTTTGAACAACCTGTGAAATGATAACAGTATAGTAATTGCTAAATCGGACAACGGTAACTCAACGGTAGTGTTAAACAAGTTTGATTATGTTCAAAATGACAAGGAATATATCGAAACAGGAATATACGAAGAAGTAAAGAAACCGATGGACAATATTATGAAAAAAAGTTTTTTAAAAACCATAGTAGATTTAATACGCCGAATGAAGCCGTTCCTAGGTAACTTGAAATGGTTTATTTTAATCCAGAAGAACTAATTATCCCTGTAGGATTTGTAGTACTATTAAAATTCATAAACCACGTTATCCCACTAGACACATAGTAGACTTTAGAAACATTCATACTTATTACTTATCTAGCAATGGGTACTAGGTCCAATTAGACACCGTTCTAATTAGAGATTTACTAACTCGTATAGCTTGAAGCATAGATTAGATGACGAGGAAAACATGGTTAGTTAAGACTCAGTTAATTGGTATACTAATATACTGATTGGCATAGCTCTGGATGCAGTCAGAATTGAGATCAATAAGTGACAATCCAGCCTACCCTATAAACCAAAATACCACTAGATAATATCATGTATAGACTACAGTTATGCCCCTAACCTCAACAATCTTTAAGTTTCAGAATAAAATATACAAACAAACTGAAGGATTGTCATACGATGACCAATTTATCCCCATATCTGTGGTTAGTTGGAAACAGCTGGATGTAGAACATTTAATCGAGCTGGAAAAATATGGTTTCGATATATTGATGACACGTTTACACTGTTGAAATTGGAGCACATACATAGTTTCTTTACACATATAAATTCAGTATTCAACATCATCCAATTCACCTATAATATGAATTAGAAAATGGTGGAGGAGATGTTGGATTCCAGAAGTGAGTTTAGACGCACTAGTGTCCACAGAAAACCTTATATTCAAATCGTTATTTAGACGACTCCAAATCGTCAGCTCAAGTGTTTAAGTAACAGAGTGAAAACACGTGCCAGTAACATGGAGGATCTAAGACAGGGAACCAGAAGCATTAAAGACACCTAACTCATCAACAACTACTCTCCCAAAATATTTAATACGTTCCTTAGGAATCGTAAGGAAACTATAACTAGTATAAGTAATGCAGGTGTTAGTATTAGTAATAACAAACCAGTGATAATAGTAGTGAGGATACTATGAAGAGAGGATTGAAAACCTCTACGGAATTACCACATGAAGAAGGCACCTTAGAAACACTAAGTAGGATTGTCAATAAGGCTGTTTGGGATTAGAGTGGCATTTAGACCTACAAACTCACTTCGAAATAACATTTGTAAGTTGAAACATTCTGTTGATCTAATTAGGCGGAATAACTTGCTTTACGAAAAACGGTTGCGATGTCAAATACATAGGAGGAACTAGTCGTCCACGTTTCAGTTAATTAGTCTGTCTGAGCACAAAACCTAGTTAAGTGGAAATTGGTAGATCGTAGTAAGGTAAGGAATTTAGGAAAAAGCTCAGCCATAGCTATGTATGCAATTATACACAACCAGACAACAGAATGGATGAGACAGGGAGAGATTGATAACTGAATGCTTGTTTATCGAATCAATACTTAATACATGCATCAACAGGAATTACTTGGCATCTGTTCTGGATGTATGAAGAATCTGAATACACATATCACGAAGGGGTGGAGGAAATTGTGACTCTATAAAGGATGTGTGAAAGCTGTGTTGTTATCTTGATGTGACGGGGGACTATATCCGAAAGCGTAATCCAGGAAACATTACTGTTCCACTGTGATAAATCAGTCAAGATTGAATTACATCCTACCGCAGTGCGTAAGCTTTACGCTTATAATAAAAGGGATAAGAAAATGGCAGGAAATAGAACGAAGCTACGTCACCATCTCCACTCTTTTTCATTCTCGGTCATATCTGATAGCATCTCAAGCTAATGGGCTGCATGATGCACAAACAGATGCTAACCCGATACAACTATCCTTCATCCCACGGCGCCATGTCGTACACTGAGCATTCTTACGCTCCTCCCATCCAATCCAAGCTTTGGCAAACAATGGACGGTGTGGAAGCCGTTGTGACAGTATGAGTAACACATGTTTAAGCCGATGTTTCCAAATGACTTCACTTAGTGAATGACGATCCCTATCATGCACAAACATACGCTATTGTGCCTCACAACCGGGTGCGAGCAATTGTTCGGAGACAATCATGGTCGAACACAGATCGTCAGCTCGTAGAGGCTAGGTTTCACAGGAGTAAATTAGGACTGCTTTCACCAAAGCGTTTCAAACCTGACTTTTTACCGTCAGAATTACATCAGGACGGCACCAAAGATGGTTTAGATTGACGTATGCCACTCTGGCTCTCAATATACGGTTAAAAATTTCATCACTTACTCAACTACTGAGATACGCGAATGTTTCGACTACTTCTAACGACTCACCAGCGATGGTGAACACAGGCTCTTGTTAATCTTCGAAAAAGTACTTTACACTTTAATAGTGTAAAGCACATTGTGTTGTAATCTACTTGTTGGCTATCGGGGGAGTCTGTATGTGTTTAGTAGCGTCCCGGATTCTTGTTACCTTTCCAGTAAATTCCTGTATCTAGTCAAGGAAGTATTGTTTTGTTTCTGCAATTAGATCATTAACAGTTTTGGGAATCAACATAGTTGTTTTCTAGGCATTATTGTATCTTTTGTCTCAATATCTGAGCATGAAAGGTTTGCAAATCACTATTCTATAGCTAAATGGTATGCTAACGTCTTCTTCAATAGTCACACTATTCTTTACTGAACATATGATTTTGGTTTACAACTCTTAATAACTGAAATACTGAGTTAATTACCATTATTCAACTTAGATTACATATCTTTGATCTCCAAACGCTTTATTTTAAATTTTTCATGTATTAGAACGAAAAAGCCACTTGAATCTGTCTGGTTATTTAGCTAAACATTTGTGTCTACAAAATTTTGTTTCATCTCATACAATTGAGTTATGATGCAACAGGAGTTTACAGTAAGTAGTCCACAGGATTTACACATTTCTTATTCCCTTACATAAGTTATTACAGTACAAATACAAATCATTATTTCTTCACAAGTTTGAAATTATTCTTGATCATCGTAAGAATCTGTTAAAATCATATCTCTAGGTAATTCATGAAACCCAGGTGTCATTTTTTTTTATTCATCAAAAATGGTTGTC